AAATAAATAAATAAATAAATAAATAAATAAATAAATAAATAAATAAATAAATAAATAAATAACCAATTGGAAAGAATTTAGTACAAAAAATCTAATGGGCCATAAAGGTCACTCGGGAATCTTAGTCCAGTTGACTGTCTCTTAGCTCAATTTATCCATCGGGATTCTAGTGAATATAATGTGTCTCTTCCTTATGAAAAGCAGAATACCATTGTTTTCTTTGGCCAGAAGAGCAGAAAAGTAACCTTTGGAGTACAGGTGGTCCTTGATTTACAACTGGTTGCTTAATGACCATTCAAGGTTATAGTGGACCTTGAAAAAGCTACTTGTAACCTGGATTTGAAGTTCCAAAGTCCAGGATCCCTTTGTGGTCCACATGACTGCATTTTGGGCTCATGGTAACTGACCCATATTTATGGCCGTTTGCAGAATCCCACAATCATGTGATTGCGATTTACAACTTTAATTACAAAGTTACTTGTTTAATTTACAAGTAAATGCCAGTTTCCAGGAAAAAAAAAACCCATGACAAATAATAGGCTCGCTTAATGACCGCTATGCTCATTTAACAACTGCTGCATTTGCTTAACAACAACCTCGAAAAATGTCATAAAATCGCGTACAGTCACATGCTTTGTTTTATGATAATCACAACATAGAACTAAAATTGTGCGTTTAATCATAGCCATAAGTGAAGGACTACCTACATATGTTAGCATAACTATAGTAAAAATCTGTTCCTGGCCAAAATTATCATCTTAGAAATCATCTCTTATTCTTTGACTTTGAGCGGGTGACTATACTGGCTCACCTTATCTGGGCCTACAGAGAATTAGCAGGGTTGTACTTTAGGAGGGGCCTGAAAAATCTGTTCATGTACATGCTGCGCACATGTACAACCTGTTCATGTGGGTTCTACCACAAAACCGCGGACGACAAAATCGCNGAGAAAGAGAAAGAGAAAGAGAAAGAGAAAGAAAGAAAAAGAAAAAAAGAAGAAGAAGAAGAAGAAGAAGAAGAGAAAGAGGAAGAGAAGGAAGAGAAAGAGGAAGAGGAAGAGGGAGAGGGAGAAGAAAAAGAAAAAGGAGGAGGAGGGGGAGGGGGAGAGGGAGAGGGAGAGGGAGAGGGAAAGGGAAAGAGAAAGAGAAAAAGAAAAAGAAAAAGAAAAAGAAAAAGAAAAAGAAGAACAGGGTGACTGTGTAACATTCAAATGATGTGGTAAACATAAAATGACAAAGTAACATTGTTCCAGATTTTTACATTTTATTTTAAATATATTCTAGTTGTATTATAATTTCCATAATCAGTTAGCCATTGAAGAGAATTCTGGGAGTATTTGTATTTGTATTTAATGAATTTATAGGCTGCCCAATCCAGGAGGACTCCGGGCAGTTTACAGAAAGTAAATTATAAAAAATAAAGAATTAAAAAAAACAGAGGAGACAGATTAAAACCTGAGTAGAAGTTGACATATACCTGGCAGTTGGCAAGTTTACAAAATGCTGGATTTGAGATCTGTTCCTATTGCCCGGATCAACTGAGATTAATCTCCATTCCTTTTCTCAAATTCTTGATTTTAGTCAGTTTTTCTGGGCCCACATTTCAAGGCTTTTTGCTAGAAGCTCGCAATGCTGACCGCTTGGATGACCCACCCATTGGTTCTTTTGCATTAGCTGATCGGAGACAATCTCAGCTCCTTAGATGTGGACATGTAAAGGTAAGAAAATGTTGAAAATGGCTTCTGCCAGTCCATTTTGACTAGCCTTTGAGCTATAAATATTGTAGCACTGTTGCTTTACATAACTGTTTTAGTTTTGCATCAGTTTTGTATTGGAATTAATCAACACCAAGGATGCTTTAATAATACAGTTTCCTTTACAGAGTATTTTTCCTTTATAGATTATGTTTAAATATTAGGGTTCCCTCTGCTGGTTATCTGAAGCAGAATAAATTAGTAGCTGTTAGCACACTACATTGCTATGTTTTTGGTATATCCTTCCTTGTATGCTTTTTATCTCAGTTAACTTTTTCAGAATATTTTTCTGATGGACATATTCAAATTCTAGAGCATTGTGCAGATTGGATAACATCGATGAGTTTCTTGTGGGTTCGGATAATAACAAATAAATCATCAAATTGCTGAAATTTTAAATAGGTGGTATGCAGATATTAAAATGAAACATGATTTGCTGGTTTCTCTGAGTAACACAACTCTCTGTAGGGATGGCTTACCCGAGAATATGTAGGCTAGAGGCTATAATATGAAAATATAATAAAATAGTAAAAGCACCTTCAAATAAAAGAACCATTAAAATGAAATGTTAAAATATATAATACCAGTAAGCCACTGAAATCTTTAAAATTAAAAGCTGAGGTAAATCATCTGAGAACATAATTCATTTTTAGGCAGAATAAAACTCCTGGTGCATAAATTCATTGCCTTAAATGGTGTATGATGTATGAACTCAGACTGTCTTTCATATGGGATTGCTCGTACATTAACCTTAGCTGTTCCAGTAAAGTTGTTTGTCACCAGAATAATTGGATATACATCACGCTAAGTCATAGTGTTTTGTTGGATTTCTGTTAATAGCTGTCTGTTTTATTTTAAGATGTGCCTGTCACAATTGGGTTTATGTATAATGCTAAACAATAAACTCTGTTTTTTAAAAACTGTTAAGTTGCATTCGTACAACATACTAAGCTAAACAAATCAGTTACTGTATTTTTCGGACTATAAGACGCACTGGAGTATAAGACACACCAATGTTTTGAAGAGGTAAAATTTAAAAAACGTTTTTTGCACTCTGCAGGCCTCCCAAACTCTCTGCATGCCTCATTTTTTTTGTGAAAAATGAGGTGGGGGGGGGGGCGCAAACATGAGCAAAAAACGCCCCATTTGTTTTGCAAAAAATAGTGCATGCATAGGCTTTGGGAGGCTTGTAGAGTGCTCCTGGGGGTTGGGGGGCAGAAACGGGCAAAACATGGCCTGTTGTTCGCTTGTTGTTGAATTTAGTATGGTCTATAAAACTAATTGCAGGCCTCCCAAAACCAATGCACATCCATTTTTGCGAAGGGGGCGGGGTTTTGGGAGGCCAAAAATGTTGTATTCAGTGTATAAGACGCAACCAGATTTTCACCCTGTTTTTTGGGGGGTGGGTGGGGGGAGGTGCGTCTTATACTCCAAAAATATGAGCTCAATCAGTATGGTATGCTGAACCAAATCATAATTTTGAATGGCTTGGTATTTGTGAACCAGTTGTCATGAATTGTTAGATTGGAATTTAGTATGGTCTAGAAACCTAATTATTGAGTTGGTTCACACATTTTACTAAGTCATTATATATTTTGCTTTCTGACTTGATGCATTGTTGGCACTCAAGTGGTTGTGGCCTATTCAAAAAGCCGTTGTTAATACAGTGGCTTGATAAAGTGCCATGTATGAATCCAGCCATTATATACTGCTAAAAATGGGACTTCTGTATTTTGTAGAACTCAGCTGTTAGTCACACCAGTAAATCTAAGAAAAACCATATGGATGCTTATTGGATTGCTCCTAGCGATGCGCCAAAGAAAGTACAATTTCTGTAAGTGTATTAAAATAATTTTCCTGTTTAGATGTTCTGAGGTATTCCTTTCCAAAATATGTATGCCTGTAGAATATGAAAGATATAGAAAATATACAAATCTCTGAATTGAATGTCATGTTGAGAAAGTCCTACATGACCTTTCAGTCTTAGGTTCCACCACAAATGCGCGAACGACAAAAGAACGCCTGACTAAACCGCGGTGACTAAACCGCGGTGACTAAACCGTGCGACGAATGAGCGCTGAAGCGCGCCGACAACAGCGCGCCGACAGAAGCGCGCTGTAACCTAACCCTAAACCTAACCCTAAACCTAACCCTAANACTGAGCATGCCTGGCTGTGGAATTCTGGGAGTTGAAGTCCACAAGCCTAAAAAAATTGCTGCCTCACCAGCCATAAAGCTCACCGCACGTCACTACTTAGAACCATTGCAGTATCCCCATGGTCACTTGATCAAAATTCAGGTGCTTGCCAAGTTTATGATGGTTGCAGTGTCCCTGGGTTATGTGATCCCCTTTTGAGACCTTCTGACAAAGTCACTAGGGAAGCTGGATTTACTTAACAGCCATGTTCCTGACTTAACAATTGCAGTGATTCGTTTAACAACGGTTGCAAGAAAAGTCGTAAAATGGGATAAAATTCAGCTAACAAATGTCTCAGTTAGCAACGGAAATGTTGGGCTCAATTTTGCTCGTAAGTCATAGACGAAATGTACTTTTAAAATGTGAACATTTACATATTTACTTTTTTAATTGAGCTGCATAACTGGACACAGATCACCTCTTTCTTGGTGGGATAGGCAGCCATTCAAATCTGACAATTTCCCCCCCCACTGCTGTTTCTTTCAGAGATATGGTTGAAATGCTGGTTATAGGTTAGCTTTCCCTAGTGGGTTGCAATGACTTGTTGGGCCCAGTTTGAGTTCATAATGGTTCCTTCCTAATGTGAGATTATAAACTATAAACAACATGTATAATAGGCTCTACTGGTTTTTCCAGTTTTAAATATGGGTTGTTTCCGGGAGAAGCCTAGGGCAGCTATGCCACATTTATTTTCCTAGCAAGATAGGTTTTTCAAGAGTTTTTTTTTTCTAAATTACCATGCTACCATTCTAGGCTGCTGCCATCTTGTCTGTCTTAACTCCAGGTTCTGTAACTGAAGCTTGTTTTAGATTATAGTATCTGTTTTAAAATAAATAAATAAATAAATAAATAAATAAATAGAAAGAGAGAGCGAGAGAGAGAGAGAGGAAGAGGAAGGGGAAGAGGAAGAGGAAGAAAAAGAAGAAAAAGAAGAAGGAGAGGGAGAGGGAGAAGGAGGGAGAGGGAGAGGGAGAGAGAAAGAGAAAGAGAAAGAGAAAGAGAAAGAAAGAAAAAGAAAAAAAGAAGAAGAAGAAGAAGAAGAAGA